TCATGTTTCCATGTTGATTCAATGTCAGTTTGCTATCTGGGTAGCAACCCTCAGAACACCCTAGCAACCATCAGGACATCTCAGAAACTGCAAAGCAACACCCTGGCAACCTATCCTAGCACAGTGGTTCTCAACGAAAAGCTGAAATTAACTCAATTACTTCCAACATTTTCTTCCAAAAATGTTTTTCTAACAAAAATGATTTTCATGGGAAATTGCATGCATACGTCACTCGCCTGAACATGTCGCGTCATATATGTAAATGAGAACAGTTGAAACGGCTATGTACTATCTGGTGTGAAAATGGCTCTGGAGAATCAGCCGTTTAAAAATAAAAAGCAAAAAGAGAACAAGGCAGAGCTTATAATAAAACAAGAAATACAATAACATTAGCTCTGCTTTTCAGAGATGGTGAGACCTGAGGGATCCGAAATATAAAAGCAACACGGATGGTGTTTTTATTACTCAGCAGGTGAATAAGGTATTTTATTGAACAGATATACTGCCATATGTACAGTAGTTCAAGCACTATTTTTCTGAAGTGTCATTACTTCATTATGGTTGTTCTAGTGCTGTGCTGGAATTTATTTTCAAGTACCATTTCTTTTCATTTGAAAAGCAACAGTAATGTCTTCAGCTAATCTAAACTAGCTATATTTCTTAAGCCTAGATGTGAATGTTTTGAGCAGTAGGACAATCTCTTTATCTTTGGACAGAATATCAGATATTAAAAAAAAAAATGTTTTGAATTATTGAATTGAATAATTATTGACAAATTATAGGCATATTGACCATATTAGACCAGCAATTGTCAAAAAAAAAATTTTAATGTCATTGCTTTAAAATATCAGTGTTTCCAATTATATAAAAACAACAGCATAATATATATATATATATATATATATATATATATATTGCTCAATTTATTCTCGATTGAACTCACCCCCTTAACAACTTTTCTCTCTCTCTCTTAAAAACAAGGTTTCCCAAGGTCTTGGAAAACCTGGATATATGGGGAAGTCTATTTTTAAAAGGGAGACTTCTAGACCTGAAAATTTTTTTGAGTCACGTGAATCGACTAAATCTTATAATGGGCATTTTACAGTGAATTTACAAATGCCAAGCTGTACAATTATTATATAGCTGTAGAGTTATACTGTACATAAATCTGGTAAAAATGAGGAAAAACTGTAAAAGTCAGGGGGCTTTGAATATTGTTGTAGACAATGGAGGACCTTGGAATGAAAAAGTCGAGAACCACTGCCCTCGCACTCATATTTTCACATAGAAACACATGAAAATGTAAAAAATATACTTTCCATTTACAATTCACTAAAATACAAATGTAATCCATTAATGCATGTGAATGCAATTTTTATGGCAGACTTTAGACTAATCAATATGTTATATAATACAAAATAAGAATGTTCTAATAAAGTAAAGCTATTCATAAACAGCTCATGGCCAAAAATCTATACTTTCAGGCAAAGAGAGTGGAAGGAGAAGAATTACTCAAACGAGCAGAATGAATGCACGAACCAACAGCACTCTAATCATTATCTGCCCTCTACCTCCGTCTAACCAACACACATTTCACTTTCCTCACAACCACAATTGATTAGAAACATTTGAGTGTAATATGGCATTCACCTCCCAAAATATTACAATCAAAACTCATCACCCGGGAGATTAACGATACACAGCAAAGGACACCGAGTGTAAAGCCGGAGTTACCGGAGATTGTAACCATTCAATCGTTTGTTATTCATTCACAATGAAAATCAATTTCTTTTATTGTATACTGCTGCAGGATGGACTTCTTTCAGCAGGGGTTAGGAGAGGATAAATAGAAATGAAAGGAGAATCAGCCCACCTCTTCAGGAACTCTGTGTACTCTGCATGCTTGATGAGTCCGGTCCTCATCATGATGGTCTGGAAACACTGGCGGTCGATGGCCCATAACTTCACATTTGTGAGGGCTGAGAACAAAATATGAAACGAAATAAGTAAATAATAACCACACTCATGCGGTAGTCATTATATAGCATTGTAGCTGCACAATGTCCTCTTAATGGGTCAAATCTTGAGCTTCATAAAAAGACTGATTGATATATTGTATTCCTTCATCATTTAGTCTAAATTGTATACGAGTGTAAGTGTGTGCGTGTGCACGTGTGTGTAGGTGTTGCTGTCAAATCCATTAATCTTGAATAGTTGCATCTAATATAAAAGTTTGTGTTTACATGATACTGTATATATGTGTGTGTGGGTGTGTGTGCATGTGTTTATACATATGTCTTGTGTGTAAATATATAACAATATACAAGCATATATAAACACACATTGGTGTGTAATGTGATTAATCACGATTAATTGATTTGACAGTACTAATGTACAAAAGGCCCGTTATGAGTCAAACATGTTTATAGTTAATGTGGGAACATTACTTATTCCACCCAGTAGGTGGCGGCCTGCCCTTACTAAGTTCGTTGCAAGTATTGCATCAGCCGTAACGTTATGAGGAAATGGACAGAAACTTCGGTCAGGTGTGGACTGTTAGTGCTTGAGTACTGAGAATTTACCCTGTTCTAATTATTCCTGAGTGGTTTTAGTTGGTGTGCGTCAATGACGATAAGTAAGTGCGGTTTATTATTAATGTTTCTTTGAGAGTTTCTAGTAACCATTTAATATCGTAAGATGTGTTGATCTATCCTAATGCTAAGCTAATTATGACTGTTTGTGAAAGACGTCAATAGTATACTATTTGGCTAGCATTAGTGATTATTTCATTTGATTATTATTACTGTAATAATGTAATCGCTACAATTGATTACTTTATTATGAGAATAGTTGTTCTCTTTCGGGAATATTGTTTGAATATATGCTGATAATATTGTTCTAATGTCCTAGTTTATGAGCATACTGTTTTGCTAATTTGAGATGATACTATTGCAGTTAGTAATTATTCCCTTTCTCTGTTTATTTAGAACCACACACTAACATACAAAGAGAACCTCAGTATTGCAGAGAAATCCTGTTATGCCATACCGTGCTGTTTGCTGTTCTATATACTAACTATTGAAGTAAACCTATATCAACCTGATACTGTCTTCCTGAGTCGTGACTGACATCCTGTAGTGAATGCAACATATTACCAACCAGATTTAGTTACAACTAATCCTTCCTAACATTATGGTCCTTCGAGCCGGAGGTGATTTGCTACAGTGACAGTATGGTTGATGAATTTCAAAGAGGAACTGTTCCAGGTTATGTACGGCCAAACCGCCAGAAACGTCATCCAGCTTATTTGGACGATTTTGAGGTGGACTATGGAGGTTATCAACCAGGGAGTAAACATCCTCCGCACCAAAGCACAGCACGGTATGAGCACAGACGAGAACAGGAACCCAGTGGGAGCAAAGGAGGTATACAACCGATTGAACCTCATGCACCACCTAGAGAAGGAAATCAGTTATCAGAGTCGACATCATATCCCTACCTTCCAGATTTAAGAGCTCAATCCTTCGCAGCCTCACAGCATCGGACTGCTACCATGGTTCGACCTGAGGCCTCTACTCCTTTCCATGAGCAATCAGCTGATGTTATGCCTGCCAAACCCATTGAGCTCAAAGGTCGACTATGTACCAGTGCTCCGCCTACCTTGTATGAAAGATCTGCCACTTCTGACTTGCATGCTTCTCCTTCATATGTGGTTTCCTCAGATCCTTATTCACCACAAGTCAAGCCTTCACGTTATTCCTTCAGTGCCATGGGTCGTGGTGTGAAGGACCCTAGTTATCCCTTGCAGCAAACGGGAGCTTACCTGGCTGAGCCACGTAGTGCTACAGACATGATGGGTCTGATTGATAAGATGATGGGCCAGTTGCAGATCATGAAAGATGAAGTCGCGTCAAAGCATGACACCCCTAGAGGATCAACACCGTATCATCCGCAGTCTTATGAAGAGCCGCCTCCTGTGCATTACGAATACTATGACTCACAGTGGTATGCGCACTCACCCCAGTATGTTGCAGAACGATCTTATGGGCCATATGACAGATTCCAGAGTAGCTACGAGCATGCCTCTAGACCAAAGAGCGATATGTACCAACACCCAAGGCCACTAACTGCTCAAAGACCGAAGCCTTACTGGTTAGAGCAACCTTCCACTCAGCTAAAGGAGTCAGCTGCAGAATATCGAGGTCCTAAGCCCAGTATACCTTACCTTGTACATAAAGATCCAAGCGAGTTTGCACGTCTGAGGCTTGCTCTGCACAATCTGCTACCTGAGGATGGGTCAGAGTTGTTTAAGTATCAAATTTTGGTGGATCATCTACAGTTGGAAGATGCTAGACTGATTGCAGATTCTTTTCTCAACTCTCCATATCCGTACACCGATACAATGAACGCCTTGACAGATAAATTCGGTAAGCCTCATCAACTTGCATTGAATAAAATTGCTAAAGTGATGGACGCGCCAGATGTACGTCCAGGAGACCCGGAAGCCTTTGAAAGGTTTGCATTACAAATTCAAGCCCTTGTAGGACTGCTGAAATCCTTAGGACCAGATGGGGATGCTGAATTGATGTGTGGGTCTCACGTAGTTCGCCTGCTGACCAAGTTGCCACCTGACTTAAGAGCTGCTTTCAGGAGACAAATGCTGCCTCATCATGCCTCAACCTTTACACTCACAGAGTTCTCCAAATGGTTGCAGTCTGAATCGTGGTGTCAAAATAGTGATCTGGTGGGAAACATTCAGTCAAAGGGATGGGCGAAGCAAAGAATTGAGAAACGCAAAGAGCAGAGGTCAAGACCAGCTACTGTATTGCACGGAGCAGGCAGTTTCACTTCAAATAGTACTCCCTCTCCAGTCAAAGCATCCACTTCACCAGGAAGGCAAGTGAAAAGTAAAGCCTTTTGTCCCTACTGTGAAAATACAGACCATTTTCTTAGCCAGTGCCTCAACTTTCAGCAGCTCATGACTGAACAAGTGAAAACCTGGATTCAAACAAACAAGCGCTGTTGGAAGTGTGGTAGGACACATTTAGCTGCACAGTGCAATCTGAAAAAACCCTGCAATAAATGTAAAGGCAAGCATTTGCTCATACTCCATGACATCAATTACAAGGCAGTCAAAGATACTGTGCCAGCATCAAGTTCCACAGCTGAGACTTTATATCTGGACAAACCTGGATTAGATAACCGGGTCCTGCTGAAGGTAGTCAGAGTTCTCTTGAGATATAAGAACCGCACGTTGGACACTTATGCTATCCTGGACGATGGATCCGAACGCACCATCCTGTTACTTGCTGCAGCCCAGCAACTGAATCTGAAAGGTGACGATGAGGAGTTATCCATTAGAACCATTCATCAGAAAGTGTCACGTTTACAAGGCTCAACAGTTTCGTTCAGTATATCTCCAGCGGCGCAGCCACATAAGACGTATCACGTCAAGCAAGCCTTTACTGCTGATCAGCTGGAATTATCTCACCAAACTTACCCAATGGAGGCACTCGTAAGCAAGTACAAACACCTTAAGGGTCTTCCTATCCAGTCCTTTGAGAAGATTCACCCACTCCTTCTGATTGGTGCCGATCAGCCTCATTTAATCACCCCAGTCGAACCAGTTCATCTTGGACCACCTGGCGGGCCAGCCGCCATCAAGACAAGACTGGGTTGGACTCTACAGGGTCCAGCAAAGCTCCTTCTGAATCCTCTTCATTCTCAGCAGATCCTGTTTACATCGGTGTCATCTAAGGAAACAGAGTTAATGAGAAATGTTGCGAAATTATGGGAACTGGACATTCTTCCTTACCGTAATGAAAAATTGGTCACTCGCTCTAGGGAGGATCAAACGGCCCTTGAACTCCTAGACAAAGGAACGGTCAGAGTTGACGTAAACGGCGTCCAGAGGTATGCTACCCCTCTATTGCGTAAAGCCAACATGGCTCCTCTTAACGCCCCTCAAGAAGCAGTAATGCCACACCTTCGGAGAACTGAACGGAATCTCTTAAAGGATCCTAATCGTGCAGCGAACTATTCTCTGGAGATCAAGAAACTAGTGGAAGAAGGGTATGTGGTCAAATTGGATCCAGACAAAGCACAACAGAGTCATGAAAGGTGGTTCATACCACATCATATGGTCACCCATAATGACAAAAATCGTCTGGTCTTCAACTGCTCATTCCAGTACCAGGGAATGAACTTAAACGAATCCCTAATTCCTGGTCCAGCACTTGGTCCGTCACTCCTTGGAGTCCTGATAAGATTCAGAGAGCATTCCGTAGCTGTGAGTGGGGATGTAAAGGGAATGTTCCATCAAGTCCGACTTCTGGAACAGGACAGACCTATCCTACGGTTTCTCTGGAGAGATATGGAACGAGATAGAGAAGCTGACGTCTACGAATGGAGGGTGCTCCCATTCGGAACTACTTGCAGCCCCTGCTGCGCTTCCTATGCGCTGCATAAGCATGTTCTTGACAACACAGAGGCAGGTGATAACCTACGATTCACTATACAAAGGAGCTTCTATGTTGATAACTGTCTTCAGAGCCTGAACACAGCTGATGAGGCCAGAGAGTTGATCAACCATCTCAGGAAGCTACTGGCAGATGGAGGATTCAACATCCGACAGTGGGCATCAAACCAACCTAGTGTAGTAAGTCATCTACCTAAGGAAGCTCAGTCGACCAGTACTGAACTGTGGTTGTCACAAAGAGAAACAGAAGTTCCTGAATCCACTCTAGGTCTGCATTGGCATTGCCCCACCGACACTCTCAGGTACAAACACCGTCCCTTGGAGTATGGACAGCCCACCATTCGCAATTTATATCGAATTCTTGCCAGTCAATACGACCCATTGGGCTTCATCCTCCCATACACAACCAGAGCGAAAATCCTAATCCAACAACTTTGGGCTAAGCCGAGGGAGTGGGATGATCCTCTATTTCCCGATGAACTATTGCAGAACTGGCTGCAGTGGGAAGACGAACTTAAATCACTTTCAGCCATTGCCTTCCCTAGATGTTATGTGACCCCAGAAATGGATAATTCTTCTTCTGTAAGGGAAATACATGTGTTCTGTGACGCATCGGAAAGAGCCTATGGGGCAGTCTCGTATCTGAGAACAGAGAACAGTCAAGGCAAGGTACAATTAGGATTCCTACTTGCACGCTCCAGAGTTGCACCTAAGAAACAGTTATCCATTCCCAGACTTGAACTCTGCGCCGCACTCTGTGGAGCTCAGTTAGCGGAGTTACTAAGGAAGGAACTTACACTTGAGTATCAGAAAATTACCTTGTGGTCCGATTCCACCACAGTGCTGAATTGGTTGCATTCCGATTCGTGCCGGTTCAAAGTCTTTGTTGGCACCAGGATCGCAGATATACAAGAAACAACATACCCACAGGATTGGAGGTACGTGGACTCTGCTCAAAATCCGGCTGATGACCTGACAAAGGGAAAACGTCTTGAGGATTTAGCCAGACCAAACAGATGGAGTAATGGACCCCCCTTCCTTTTACTGCACCCTGATCAATGGCCTAAGAGTCCTGTTAACAGCTCCTTGGAAGGGGATTCAGAATTGCGCAAGTCAATGTTCTGTGCTCTTAATGTAGTGACCTCCAACTCAGAGATTCCTGATGCCAGACAGTATACAGTCTACAGAGAATTACTGGAAGCTACTGCACAATATGTTCATGGGGCTGCGAGTGGGGAGCCACTAACTGCTGCAGATTTCCAACAGGCAGAAATACTTCAGTGGAGAGCAGCTCAGCAAGATAGTTTTCTCTGCGGCTTCCGATGCCTGAAACAAGGCAAACCACTTCCTTCTAATAGTAAACTGCTTACTTTGTGTCCAGAGCTGGACAAGGAAATGGATGTAATCCGAGTGGGGGGAAGACTGCGTCGAGCTGAGGCACTCGACATAGCAACAAAGCACCCAATTGTCCTAGATCCCAGTCATGCCCTTACTAAACTTATAATTCAAGATTACGATCAGCAGTTGAACCATCCAGGCCCAGAGAGAGTTCTGGCTGAAATTAGGAGGAAGTTTTGGATTCTGCGTGGTAGGGAGGCTATCCGTAATCACCAATTTCGATGCACTGATTGTAGGAGATGGAGAGCAAAACCAGAAGTCCCAAAAATGTCAGACTTGCCTGTCGCTCGACTTCGACTATTCAAGCCTGCATTTTATTCCACTGGAATGGATTGCTTTGGACCCTTCTCAGTTAAGATTGGACGGAGAGTGGAGAAAAGATGGGGAATAATTTGGAAGTGTTTGACAACCAGATGTGTTCACCTTGACACACTGTCAAGTATTGATACTGATTCCTTCCTCATGGCATTCCGGAGATTTGTGGCACGTAGAGGAACTCCTTTCGAGCTATGGTCTGATCAAGGGACTAATTTTAAAGGAGGGGAGAGAGAGATGTATGAAGCATTCAAAATAATGTCACCTGAATTACAACAACGGTTGGCAAGGCAGAAAGTTCACTTCCATTTCAACCCTGGAGCTCCTCATTTCAGAGGAGGATGGGAACGTGAGATACGATCTGTCAAATCGGCTCTGTATGCTTCAGTTGGGGCTCAATCAGTAACGGAGGAAGTCCTCAGGACAGTGTTAATTGAGGTAGAGGGTATACTGAACTCCAAGCCTCTTGGATACCTATCCTCTGACGTCTCAGATACTGATCCTATTACTCCAAATCACCTTCTTATGGGGCGGCCGGATGGTTCTCTCCCACAAGTTGTGTACCCTCAAAGCGAAATGATCAGTCGTAAACGATGGCGCCACAGTCAGATCCTTACAGATTTATTCTGGTCCTCATTCATCAAGTACTACCTACCAAACATGCAGACCCGATCTAAATGGCAGAAGGACGTTGAGGACATTGCCGTTGGGAGCATTGTTATGCTGGTAGACCCTCAATTACCTAGAGCTATGTGGCTAATCGGTAAGGTGACCAAGGTTATGCTCAGTGTAGATGGACATATCAGAGCTGCAGATGTGCTAATCAATGGACGAACCTATACCAGACCTGTGTCAAGGATGATTAAACTCCCTGCTATTCCCGATGACTCAGAAACCTCATAATTGGAGACCATCAGTTCCTAAATTTGGGGGCGGCTGTACAAAAGGCCCGTTATGAGTCAAACATGTTTATAGTTAATGTGGGAACATTACTTATTCCACCCAGTAGGTGGCGGCCTGCCCTTACTAAGTTCGTTGCAAGTATTGCATCAGCCGTAACGTTATGAGGAAATGGACAGAAACTTCGGTCAGGTGTGGACTGTTAGTGCTTGAGTACTGAGAATTTACCCTGTTCTAATTATTCCTGAGTGGTTTTAGTTGGTGTGCGTCAATGACGATAAGTAAGTGCGGTTTATTATTAATGTTTCTTTGAGAGTTTCTAGTAACCATTTAATATCGTAAGATGTGTTGATCTATCCTAATGCTAAGCTAATTATGACTGTTTGTGAAAGACGTCAATAGTATACTATTTGGCTAGCATTAGTGATTATTTCATTTGATTATTATTACTGTAATAATGTAATCGCTACAATTGATTACTTTATTATGAGAATAGTTGTTCTCTTTCGGGAATATTGTTTGAATATATGCTGATAATATTGTTCTAATGTCCTAGTTTATGAGCATACTGTTGTGCTAATTTGAGATGATACTATTGCAGTTAGTAATTATTCCCTTTCTCTGTTTATTTAGAACCACACACTAACATACAAAGAGAACCTCAGTATTGCAGAGAAATCCTGTTATGCCATACCGTGCTGTTTGCTGTTCTATATACTAACTATTGAAGTAAACCTATATCAACCTGATACTGTCTTCCTGAGTCGTGACTGACATCCTGTAGTGAATGCAACATATTACCAACCAGATTTAGTTACAACTAATCCTTCCTAACAACTAATATGCTTATGACCAGGTTAAAACTACATTATTTAAGGAAAGTAAGTATTATTTAAGTAAATAATTATTTAAGGAAAGTATTATTTAAGAAAACTACATTATTTTATTCATTTATAAAGAAAGTTTTATTTTTTTATACAATAATATAAAATATTATGCATCAGGATCTAGTCTTTATTCTTAGCATTAATAGCCTAATATTGATGTTGCATTCATGCTGTTGTGCTTCGCTGACGATCATTTCTCAATACAAACAAATAATCAATACTTTTGCATTTGGTAAAGGTCCCATGTTAATCAAATTTATAATTTAAAAATATCTTTCTACATCCCTGAATTGCAACAAATCAACAGAACATTTTTTTTTTATGTCAAATTAGGGAAAAACTCTAAAATAAAATAAGAAAGTTAGAAAGTAATTAGAAAGTGCCAAAAGTAATTAAAATTAGTAATTTTAAAGAACAAGCAAAATAATTTTAATAAATCATTTTAAAATAATAAAATAAAACATTTTTAAATAATTGTTTAAAAAAAAACACACTGAAATTAACCTTAATGTTATACTTACTAAATGCATCATAGAAGTTGGGTGATTAAACCAGTAAAGATCATGTTCAATCAAAAGAAACAACCAATTTGCAGAGTGATTTGAAGAAACGTTACATTCCAAACCAAAACCTCAATCATCATCTTTTAGGGACATTGTCACTAATTCTGTTCCAACCCAATTGATTTTGCAGCCTTGAAATGCTGTCAGAGCTTGAGAGAAATGGCACATTTGTCTGTGGTGACAGAGGCAAAAAATGGTTGTCACTCAATGGCATTACCAATATATAACATGCCTTCAGGAAAGGGCAATTGCCACAATGTTTAAAGCAAAAGCCCATCGGGCCCTCAAAATGTGACAGGTCTATGCCAGAAATTAGCATAAACCTTCAAAACAGCTATAACATTGAGTGCTCACTCATGGGCCCACATTGTATGCCTTAAACACAACAAGTTCCTCTGCAGACTGCGTGTTCAGATATTTGAATGATAAAGTGTGCAAGTGTGGATTCGAATATGCAGTAATGCAGAAATACTGTATCAAGATTAGCATGTCGTTATGCTTTTTCAAATGGCCAAAGACTTTCTTCCCCTAACACGTCAAGATCTGCAGGCTATCAGAAGAACAATTTACTAAAAATGCTCTTGTGCTCAAAATGATGACACATCCACGGATGCATGTCGGATGCAAACACATCTCGTGAAATAGCAGAACAAGTGTTTCCCACATAATAAACCCTCATTTAACATATCATTTTCACCCTCATGCAGCGAGCGCAAATGATGCTTGCACAAGAAATATTTCACAAAGACCATTTTCAAAACAAAACTGCACATTAGTCATAGCCAGGGCCGGCCCGAGGCATAAGCGAACTAAGCGGCTGCTTGGGGCCCCCTGGCCACCAGGGGGCCCCCTAATCGAGGTTATTTTTTATTTTAATTTTTTTAAATGACTTAAACAAGTGACATAAATCAATGAATGAATGAATATGACTGAATGAATAGTTCAAGACAACAAAATTCTGATTTAATGATCAATATACCTGCCTACAAGTTACAACTGCTGCTCTGTCTGCCAGCGTTTAAGTCATACGCATAATCTTCTAGACACCTCGTGCGTGCATAGACAATTCGTGCGCAACTGCGCCTAGTCACGGTATCGGTTTAAGTTGGAGAAAATAGCCCGCCTGAGAACTTATCCTTCAAGGTGTAAGGGTAGCAGTTTGAATAAATAATAAACATAGCAGTTTGAACTCTTCTCCACTTTATTATACCACACATCAGATCTCCAAACACCCGCGACACTCCAGTAGCCTAGCAAGTGCGCACGACCCATCTACGGCAAGCCCCGAGGGGAAAAATACATTGCATACACACATACAACGAGCGCCAGAACATCATAACCGGTATTATAGTAACAGACTGTGTTGGATTATGTCATGTACTATATAACAAAGTCTGTTACAATAATAATAATAACAATAATAAAGATTTTGAGGATAGTTACTCTGTATTGACAGTTGAGAAATAGGCTAGTAATATTTTTAGTTTTCAACAATAGCCTCCTGAGACCCAGAAAGTTTTTTTTTTTTAATTTAGTTTTTTTTTCATGTCATCACATTGTTTAGAGCATAATAAACAAATGGTAAAAAAAAAAAAAAAAAAAACCTTTTTGAAAAATTATATTTTATTCATTATGTAATACTTTGTCCTCTGTAGTGGACACCAGGACTCAGTTGTTAGAATTAAATGACATACAATGTGTAGGCAAAAACAATGGGTTTTTTTTTTTTCCAATCACCAATACATTTTGGGGTTTCAGGATTTTTTTAAACTAAAATTTGTATAAAGATGATTCTCAACTATGTTATGAAAGATATAATGGAATTAATTGATACACCAATTTACTTTATGCAATATATGGGTAAAATTGGCATAAATTAATATTCCCATTCAATGCAAAGTATCTATACACTGTATCTAATTTGCACATGTGTTCTTGGAGCAACATTTAATGAAAAAAGAAGTGTAAGCATTGGAGTAATAATAAGCAACATTTTAATAATAATATCTAATATGTCATAAGAATATTGACGTATCATTTATTTACATATTCACTTGTTATGTCTCCCAGAATGCCTGATAAACATGATTTATGTCCTGATGTTCTCTACAGTGGACATGAATGAAATCAATGCCCTGTAACGGAAAGTCATTTTTTTCATTTGAAACCCCATAACATTTTCATGAGATGTTGGTTGATGAAATACAATTTTAAAAGTAGTTAGATTTAAATTATAATTACAATATATTACCATATTTCAATAAGAGTGCTACATTTGATCACTAAATTAATGTTAGACATTTTTAAAGACCAAGGAGAAGTTGTTTTCATGGTGAAACCTCCAAACATTTGGTATCTCTGTATTGCCCTGAATGTGCTCTTTACAGGACATCCAGAAAAAAAAAATGTGACATGCATGGTGTCAGAGAAATACACTAAAATATAATGTCCACTACAGTGGACAAAAGTCTGTTCCTGGGTCCCATGAAGGATAGGCCAAAGTATCATTGCTCTTACGTTTAATTTCTCAGTTTTGTCATCATTTTAGCAAATAATTTATTTTATATGTTTTGAGACAGTTTTAAGACTGTTTTAAAACTTTTTTATTTAAGTAGGCATCTATTTTTTTATTAATACATAACCTCAGTGTATTCATTTATAATGTATCATTTTTGCGTGACATTTATGTCAATAATCGTCAAACACAGGTGACTCCACGTCGTGGGAGGGGCCCCCAAATCAAATTCTGCTTAGGGCCCCCAAAAGGCTCGGGCCGGCGCTGGTCATAGCAACAGTAAGGGTTACATTATACACTCGCCTATTTTCTCAGTGGGAGTGTTGTGTTTTAATGGTTTCTGAGCCCATTGATACTTGACCAATTATTATGGATTTATTATACTGTATGTCTTGGCTAATTATTACTTCCTGTGTGAGTACACCGTGTCGTGCGTTCGAATACACTTAACCAATTGCAAGATTGACATTTTCTGGGTTTTGCATAGCAACCTTCAGCACATCATTCTCTACAGATGTCAAATAAACATTATAGTCTGGGTGATTGATCAAATATTTAAGGTATGTTATGTATTATTGTGTTGACTGAAAATATAAAGAATATTGTGATTGTATTGTTTAATACAAAAGATGACTTTTTGATTTGACCATTAAGCATTTAAAAGACCTCAGTACAGAGAATCATTACAATTAACCATATTTATTAAACTGTCCATGACTCGCTTGTACATTTTGCAAATGCATTAATTATTAACATTCCTATTTATTAGGGTGTTATATTTGTGCCTGTAAAATAAATTGTGTTAATTTAGTTAAATCATTAAGCAAATCCATAAATACTGAGATCATATCACACACATCTCAAAAGGATGAAAACACTGAAATATTAAAGTCCTCCTGTGGTGAAAATCAAGTTTTTAATGTTGTTTATATGTCTATGGGGTGTTTTTAATATGCTTTAAGACAAACCATGTGCAAATTCAAGTCAACAGAGTTGCTGAGTATTTTCTCCTTAAAACTGCAGCGAACCAAAGACAGAAATCGCT